AGCTTGCCAGAAAACTTCATATTGAGAATAGAGGCGTGCATCTGGATCAGTCATGCAGAAGGAAATAACAAAGGGTGTTACTCTCATGCACAGCTTGAAAGGTGTGAAGCTCACAGCAGGCACTTTTGCCAGCTCTCAGTGATATTCCCACTCTAACTACATCTCAAAAGCCACAAAAGAGACCTGAAACTAGGCCAAAAAGTCTGGACACTGGACAAAGGAGACACATTTTTCTTCTTTTTCTCAGTGTTTGCAGGGGGAACAAGTGGTGCACACACATTTCTGTGCACAGGGCAACATCTCTGCTGGGGTTTCCAATATAATCATTTCTAAAGTAATCATTTAATTCACTTTTAAAAATATTATCTTGCACATTCATTGTGCAGTTTTTGTCATTCTTAAACGATCATTTTCCGTTGTTATTAAAAGAAAATCTTCTAGGAAAATCACACAGGCATTACATTGAAAAGACCTCATTTAAACCCCATTTTGTACATTCTCATAGCATGTAGACTGAACTTTTCTAATCTTTCTGGAACGTACCAAACGCAAAACCTGAAGTAAATCTGATAAAATATTATCATGATTGGAGAATCATTGCCGTTGCTCACATCATTGAGGAAATACTCGCTCATTAATTCACTCACTTCTGGCTAAATTTCTTGTTATTAAGGTTTTGTAAGTGATGTGACAGAGCAGGTGATGATGTGACAGAGCAGGTGCATCATGGACATTTTGACAGCCGGTATCTGATTACAAACTGAATTTTAAAAAATATTTGGTGAAATATATGTATGTTTTCTTAAAGTAGAGATTTCAAAGTATATTATTGGCAGAAAAACTCAATTTAATTCAAAACCTGATTTTTCGTTTTTTTTTTTTTTTGTTTGTTTTTTTTGAGGTCGGGACCACCAACGAATTTTTCCAGACTGTCACAAATAACCGTCCCCTGATTTGGGAAAGACTTCGCTTCGTTTTTAAACCTAGTTAATTTGCTTACTCAGTCACATTCGATAGAAGATAGAAGGCTTTCCAGAAGGTTCCACAGGACATCTAGTTCAGGATAAAATAAAGTTACGTTCTGCAAATTGCTATTTTGTTGTTATTTGTTCCGATCTAAACCATGCCCACTTCCAGTTTAGATGTGAATTCGAGTACGGATACGACTATTTGGAGCACTAAACAGATATAAATACAGATAGCACACTGTGTTACAGCCCTAATCTGTATGCATACATTTGGATATGTGCGGTTGAATTTATATCCATAGACAAGAAAGATGCAAATATATTCAGTATATACAAAAACACACAAATGAATACACACACTCACACACACACACACACACAGACACACATATGCAGTGATACCCTGATATATGATACATACAGATTTAAATGTTTTAGCAACACTGTAACTCAATACAGCCATCATAATACAGCCACTTCTTATCAAAATGTCAGAGAGAGCAAGTGAACTGAGAGAGACAGAAAGAGAGAGTGACAGAGAGAGAGAGATAGAGAGAGGTTTTCCATTTTCCTGTGTGTGTACATATGATATGCGAGGTGAAATGGCATCTTGAATGATCATGTGCAAATAGTAGACAAACTTCTGCACACTGACGAACCCACTGAGAGAGACACCATTTGTCACATGAAGACATAAATGGGTTTTCAATTATACTTTAACAGCAGGCAGTGAAAAGCACTGTTCATCACTAACATTAGCTAAGTTTAATAGGTAACTAGCCTGATACACACATTCTGCAGCTAAACATTTCTGGTTTCTACATTATACTGAGCAAGTATCTGTTTTTGAAATGGAAAACAATGTGACTTTAGTGCTCTGCTCACAATCCTGACCCAAATACCAACCTATATAATCAGAAACAGACATTCAATAGGAGTTAATCATTAAAAAAAACACACACACACAGTGGTATGCGTTGTGTTTGCACGATTGTAATATTTGTGTCTAGTCAGAGACACAGAGACAAACAAGGAAAGAGAGAAAGAGAGAGAGAGAGAAAAAGAGAATGCAAAAAAATATATGTTTACAGGCAAGAAAATGCAAATTACAGCTAAAGAGAGAGTGAAGCAGGAGAAAAGAACATGTGTGTATGTGTTTCTGTGAGACGGGTTGCTGGACGTTTCCACCCAAGTGACTCACACTTTCTGTCCACACACACACACACAGGGAAATCTGTTCTTTCCAGATGCTTTGCAAACAGCATGACCTTCCTGGTTCCCTCCATCACATGCTTTGCTGTTTAAGCTGTTTGACTGTGTAAGATCACGGACATATCACCTCAGAGATCAATAACGCTCTACAATGTATTTGCTGTTCTTGACGAGCTGATAATAAACATCTGGTACTTCTCCTTTAACAAACCCATGTACAGAGCCATAAATTAAGATCAGCCGCGCTTTTGTTATCGTGTTTCCTTGTGAACGGAGCATAAATGCAAATGCTGTAGTAAAACCACCATCTTCTGTATCGTAAACCTGACAAAGCGTGTTTGATTTCAGATGGAGATGTTAGTCACTGTTAATGAATGATCTTACCCTAGGGGAACTCCCCTCAGGGATCAATAAAGTACATCCATCCATCCATCCCTCCCTCCATTCACCTATCTACTGTGTAGATTTTACAGCAATACACCTGTACTGATTATGTTTAATATCTGCAGTCTTCTAACATCTCCTCATCTCAGTGCTGATCAATAGAAAAAGAAACGCAAAAGCCCAGAAAATCAGTTCTATCATCTAAAAACAGTAATTTTTTTTTTAAATAAAAGCAAAAAAAATCTGACCTTTCCTACAGCAACTTTATACGCCTCCTTGATCTTCTGCCTCTGTGCAATCGTACGATGACTCAGAATGGAGATGATCGTTGCCTCATCGGTGCCTAAAAAAATACAACACATTAACTAATAATAATAATAACAACAATAATAATAATAATAATAATAATAATAATAAGGTAGTAGAAGAAGAAGAAGAAGAAAATGCCATTTCTTTTTTTACAGCTCAAAGTAAAGATATGGGAACAAATACAGAAGCTAATTAAGCTCATGATTTAGTTATTCATAAACCATAATTCAAAATTCATAATTTAACACAGTGAAATTAATATGAAAGTTCTGACAGTCAAGACAGTCAGTCAAAGGATCCTGGGAGTTTCACAGATTAAGCATAAATAAATAATGAATAAAACTCATCATCACATCTAAGGAAATGACAAGAAAACAGGAAACGAAAACAAAACAGTTTCTACAATTACAGGAAATTAATTTCTTCATCAAGCGAAAAGCAGAATTGCTAGTTCCTTAAAGCGATTTAGGTTAAAAAGTTCACATCCTGTTTCAGATAAATGAAGAGAATACAATTTAAAATATTTATTTCTATTAAACATCCAGCAAAGGTTTCATGGGAAAAAAAGTAAAAAAAAAAGGTTGTGTTCCAAACCATGGTGGAGAAAGTGCTGAAAAATGACACTTTAGTGTAATTATTGATGTTGTGTTAAAATCCTACTGAAAGAAAAAAATGGACATAGCAACTCAATTATAACTGAGTGAAAGAGAAAAAGATTCACAGTTTTTTATAAATGGAAGTATTTAAAAGTGAATTATCTGAACTGAACTTAGAAGTCAGGACATGTTTTTTTCAGCATGGTCTCACACTAAATTTGTAACAATTTGCATTCAATTTGGATGAAAAGTGATAAAGGTCATTGTTAGGGTTGGGATGGGGTTAGCACTCATACCACTTCTTATGATTTCCTAATTATAAAATCAAATCCAAAGACATCATGCGCCCTTGTTTGAATTTGTGCAAATGTTTCTTGAATTTTTGCAAATTTTATTACATCATTTATGAAGAGCTGAGACTGTATGTAATTATGAATAGTTGGGGTATCTATACAAAATTTAAAAAAAAAAAAAGCATTCTCAACTACTGATTGGTCAGAAGGTGATGTTTAATTCTCTATAACAGTAGCTCTGACAATGCTACAGGCTGTAATTCGAATTCAGATGTACTAACTGTGTGTGTGTTTGTGTGTGTGTGTGTATGTGCGGTGTTTTGTTAACACACCTCACGATGGATTTAGCTGATGCCAGTTACGTCTAACTTCATCAGTGTGTCAACAACATGTCTCAAGTCACAGAAATGTCCTTCTGCTCTGAGCTCTAACGCAATTAAATGCTACAACATTTCACGTTGTGGTGTTAGCCCATGCTTCAAAAAATTAGCCAACAAGCATCTTAACATTCCAGTAAAAAAACAATGGGGTCACGTCTGCCACCACTCTCTCTCTCTGTTTGCCTTTTCCTAACACAACAGTTGGAGAAATGTGGAATGAAAAATAGCTTGCAATGTTAATTACATGAGTAATTAAACACGATGGGGCACGGTGATAATCAAATCAAATAATCAGGAAAATAATCAGTGATGCAGTGGTGTGATGGAGCGGCGGCTGGTGGTTTTTAAAATAGGGAAAGCACATCTGTCTGTCAGCAGACGAGTCCAGCAGTACATGTGACGAGTCCAGCAGTACATGTGCTTGGTTACAGTACTATCTGTCCAGTCTGCTAATCAACTTTACTGTACCAAGAGAGCTGAAAGGACCGTTTTTACTCCCTGACTTCTCAGTTCTTCTCAATTCTCAGTCTCTCCTCATAAGTTATTGTATCAAAAGACTTTTTCAAAATCAGGTCAACAATATTAGCAGGTTCTGCCATAAAGTAGCTAAGCTGCTAGCTAAATTTGACTGAAGAATATAGTAACAACTAGCTAGCTAGACCTATAAATGTTGTTGTTGCTCTTCTTTCGGCTGCTCCAGGTAGGGGTCACCACAGCGGATCATTTGGTCCGCATATTTGATTTGGCACAGTTTTTATGCCGGATGCCCTTCCTGATGCAGCCCTCCCCAATTTTATCCGGGCTTGGGACCGGCACTGGGAGTGCACTGTCGTGTCTGTCCCCAGTGGCTGGGGTCGGTTCCCTGGCCAGGAATCGAGCCCGGGCCGCGGCAGTGCGAGCACCGGGGCCTAACCACTGGTCCTACAGGGACCCTTAGCTAGACCTATAAATAAACAACAAATTTCCAAAACGAATGCAAATAATTAAACATAACTTTACACTAATAATATATTTACAATATTTGCCATATTTACTAAGATAAAGCACGTCACAAAGTATTTTATTCCTCATATAACATAGAAATTTGCCAAACCCTAACAATGTTTTATTTATTAAAGAACATCATGTACATTTTATCCATTTATGCTTGCCTTCAATGTCTCTGAAACAAGTTGGTTCCTGTTATCACTTACATTTGACAGACACTCTTATCTCATCTCATTTATACAACTGAGCAGTTGAGGGTTAACGGCCCAGGGGTCATGGCAGCTTGGTCAGAAAGCCAACGTCTTAACCACTGAGCTACCAATACCACTCTTGTTATAGCTGCTATAAACTGTCATTCCCTCACAAGCCTCTATTTTTTTAATCTTTCCTGAAGTTAATAAACAAATTGCAGCCTGTGTTGGTTTGACTGTTGACTGTTCACTGACATTGGAGACTCCTTCCATAAATATTACATAAACATCTCCTTACAGAAGTCTTCAGCATATCAACAATTATATGCTATTTTAAATCTGTTTATGTGAAGCATTTGCTATATAAAAGCCTGTGTGTTGATATTATAGAAATGTATTAGAACAAGTGCATTAATATAAACCTTGCAACCAGAACCACTGCCACAGCTGCTGTTATAGAAAATTAATCAACACCTTCTGACCAATCAGAATTAAGCATTCAAACGCACTGCGGTATTAATTGTTATGATGTCTGCTTTAAGTGATGATTAAAATATCGGAAAAGAATTGAGTTGTGGTGAAATATTAAATATAAAAATGCAGGGAACTGTTTCCTAAAGAATCGTATGAATGATGTTGCATAAATAACAATTCATTATTATTTTCGCACACCTGCTCCCTTCATGGCCACTCTCAGTTTCTCTGCGTCGATTTCAGCATCAAAATCCCGCTCCTGTGAGATTGTACCGCGGTTTCCAAGCTAAAACCCAAGAAAACGGTTAGTGCAACTCAACCATGTGTCCATATCACACTCTCGTACAGCACAACTGCCTTAACTTTTATCACAATATTTACATCAAGAAGAAATATTTTCATCTAGAAGCATTCCAAAAATGATATGTACACAATTTCCCTTTTACTCCAAATGTAGTCAGTCAGCCAAGACATCTTTAGTGTGTGATGTTTGCTTCTTTTGTTTACACTGAAGCTGAATAAGCAGTCATGGAAGCCTCTAGTCTGGCATTGTGTAAACTTCATGCCCAAATCATCACACGCTTTATCTCGCTGCCAAAAATACCACCTACGTAGGCAGCCTCCTCCCAGCTGAGATATACGGGGAGTAATGGAAGCTAAAGTGTCTACTATTAGTGATGGAAAATTTGGATCTTTTCAGTAAGTCAGATCTTTTGGTTCAGCTCACCAATACGAATCGACTCTTTTGGCTCTCAAACGACTCACTGCCAATTTTTTTTTCTAGACTGGTCAGTTTGTGATATTTTCAACAGTGACTGTTTAACAAAATCTTATTTTACCTTTTAATCAACAAAATAACATTACAATGCATTTCAGTTTATAAAATGCAATTAAATAATTATCCTAATTCAACAAGGCACAACAAATGTACACCCCTGCAGTGTTATTGTGCCCTATCGTATCAGTGCTGCATTAAGAAGATTTATTGCATTTATCCTGATAACTGATCCACAATACACTGCCTCATACACACAGCTGAAAGTAAAACACACCTTTCATGCAAACAAACAGCTTAGATATTAAAAATACGAGAAAACAAAAAACCCACTCACATCACCATCCACGATAACAATATTGCACGTGCTCAGCGTGGAAATCTATTGTGTACTGATTATGTGCACATTCTTATTTGTAATACCTGAATGAGCTAATCAGGATGTAATTCTCAGGCTTTAGCTAACATGCATTTGGATTATGAAATTTCGAGTAACTCTTTGACTCACTTGGATGGTGACACATTTGTTATAATCTATTTACCTGACTAATGTAAAAATAACAAAAAAAACCCCTGATAAAACAGCTTTTCACTTCTTCAGCCTGATGTAGTAAAAAGCATATGTATTTCTAAATTACACTGTACAATAGTTTTGCAACATTACTTAAGCTAAACTTAACAACTTAACCTAACTGCTCTCTAAACACAGTATTGCAATATTGTTAACCAATGAACATTGATATTACTTATATAGTACTGGGTATCTTATGTTAAGCATCTAACCAAGCTTACTATCAAGCTATCTAGCATTGGGTGAAAGTGTAGATGTCATATGATCAAATTAGTGTCTGGCTGATGAGATTTAATTTAAGCACCACACTTGTTAACCTAGGAATGCCTGTCACTCAGCCAAATCAGGCTTCAGGATGGGCAGCGTAAGAACAGTCTTCTTATTGTCTTATTTTTGACAAATTTGAATGAGAAGACAATGCCATAATTCTAAACCAGACAGGATTTTTGTGCAAGTGTGTATAACATTGCAGATAGAACTGTTGCTCTGAGTGAGGAATAACACTTTAGCAGTGTTAAGTACTTTTAAAAATACCATACAATACAGTATCCAGTGATATCAGTCTGTTATGCCTAAATCACCTGTTCAGCTGACTGGAAGTGAAAAAAAAACCCACATGTATTTTGAATGTTATACGAATAACTGAAACTTACCGCTGCCATGATGTTACACGTTCAAGCAGGAACGACAGAGATGCACAAACTGCAGGAGAAAAGAAGAAGCTATTTAAAGACAAGACCTCTAGTGTACTCTCTCTCTGCCAGTCACTCCTTTTTAAAGGCGATGATGTCAGGAATCTCCCCTGCTCTTTCTAACATCAGTGTAAACAAATAACAGTGCCGAACCTCTCTGGCTCAGGTTTCCTCTCATTAAGGAGCACATACACAAACACACACCTGTAATTACCTCCTGCCTCACCTTACACACGAAAACAAAAGGGTTTTCCCTAAACACCGCCGTAGTGCACGCACACATACACACACCATTCAACCCACGTGAATCATTCATCACAGCGGTGTTATACGAACAGAGTTTAACCTGAAACAGAACTAAAGTGAGCGAATCACCATTCTGAGTGTGTATTACACCAAACACTGCTCACCATCTGCCCGAGCAACTGTCTCACTGCTAAGATTAATGGAGTGGTAATGACTGATCTTCAGGTAAAGACTACTGGTGTGAGTTACAGGGCAGGTGCAGCATTTCAACACACACACACACACACACACACACAAATCTATTGTGTATGAGATTATATAAATTGTTCATCACACACACAAATATCTATATATATATAATGTTGTTATGTATTATTATATACCATGCATTATACATGCTGTAGGATGTATGCATTATGTTATATTATATTATACCACAATGCTGATGAATTCAAATTGTTGTTTAGTCTTGACTGTTTATAGTTACATTTAATGCCATACAACATCCTTGAGGCAAGTTAGTACCTGTAATCACTTGCGTTACTGCAGCTATAGTCGTTCCCTCACCAGCCTTTTTTTCTCTCTTTTGTAGTTGATAAGACAAAAAACACAGCTTGTTATATTACCAAGAAATCAGAAAGTGCAAAGTCCTGAATACTTTCCTGTGGAAAGTGCTAACACTGAAGACCTTCCATAAATGTTAAATACAGTCTCCTAGCCTAAAACTTTTCCATAGCAGTGAGTATAGGGATTTCTTTGTTAAATAACAACACTTTTTTTTTAAAATCTGTTTATTTAGGCTTAGACCATGTACACAAGTCCCTGTGAATGAGCTGTTACTATAGAAATGATAAGATATTAGAATGAGTGCATTAACTTAAATCTTTCATTCGAATTACAGCTGAAACTATTGTCCGAGCTGCTGTTATAGAAAAGTAATAACACCTTGTGACCAATCAGAATGAAGAATTCAGTCCTGCAGGAGTTTTTAGAGCTGTAAGACATAATTCAGTACTGAATGTATTTTTAGAGCTGTAAGTATTAATTCATTACTGTAGGCATTTTTAGAGCTAAGTATTAATTCAGTACTGAATGTGTGTTTTGGGTGTGTTAATTCAGTACTGAATGTGTGTTTTGGGTGTGTGTTAATTCAGTACTGTATGTGTGTTTTGGATGTGTTAATTCAGTACTGTACATGTGTTTTGGGTGTGTTAATTCAGTACTGTACGTGTGTTTTGGGTGTGTTAATTCAGTACTGAATGTGTGTTTTGGGTGTGTTAATTCAGTACTGTATGTGTGTTTTGGGTGTGTGTTAATTCAGTACTGTATGTGTGTTTTGGGTGTGTTAATTCAGTACTGTATGTGTGTTTTGGGTGTGTTAATTCAGTACTGGACGTGTGTTTTGGGTGTGTTAATTCGGTACTGGACGTGTGTTTTGGATGTGTTAATTCGGTACTGTACGTGTGTTTTGGGTGTGTTAATTCGGTACTGTACGTGTGTTTTGGGTGTGTTGATTCGGTACTGAACGTGTGTTTTGGGTGTGTTGATTCGGTACTGAACGTGTGTTTTGGGTGTGTTGATTCAGTACTGAACGTGTGTTTTGGGTGTGTTGATTCAGTACTGAATGTGTGTTTTGGGTGTGTTAATTCAGTACTGTATGTGTGTTTTGGGTGTGTGTTAATTCAGTACTGAATGTGTGTTTTGGGTGTGTTAATTCAGTACTGAATGTGTGTTTTGGATGTGTTAATTCAGTACTGTATGTGTGTTTTGGATGTGTTAATTCAGTACTGGACGTGTGTTTTGGGTGTGTTAATTCAGTACTGTATGTGTGTTTTGGGTGTGTGTTAATTCAGTACTGTATGTGTGTTTTGGGTGTGTTAATTCAGTACTGTATGTGTGTTTTGGGTGTGTTAATTCAGTAC